CCCGCTGTCCCGTGCCCTGCTGAGGGGATGTGACACGTCTCTGTGTGCCGAGCTGCGCCCAGCCTCAGCTGAACAGGGGCCTGGCACGGGCTCTGGCCAGTGAGATGCCACTAGCGCCTGTCTGCTCCCCAAGAAACTGGGGCTGTCAGGAGCAGCAGAGAGCTGGGTAAATCCAGCAGCACTGGGTGAACAGTGCCACACGAGTTTGTGACCCCCTGATCTAGAGGAAACAGCTAAAAATGGGTGAAAGACAGCACAGGGTTTCACTTCTCAGTGACCCTGGTCGCAGACTCTCCCCTTCCCAAGCCTTCTCCTTCCCTGCGAGCCTTGTCCTGACACCCTGAGAGGGCTCCCTGGGGCCGTGCGGGCGGCAGCATGCTGCACTGCAGAGTGTTGGTGCCTCCCTTCGCAGGCCCTTTTGAAAGAGTCCCTGGAAAAAGCCCAGGAGGAATCGGAGAGGATCGAGCGGGCGATGCAGGAGCTGGACGAGCAAATGCACAGCATCAAGGTAGCAGCACGGCCACCTCCGTGCCGGGCGTGTGGGTGGGTGCATGCTGGCTTTCACGGCTCTTCCCCACCCAGGACTCCACCAAGGGGCTCAAATCGGTGATTCTGAGCAAATTTGCCCTCCTGAAGAAAGCCCTGGAGGATAGCCAGTGGCAGACAGTGGCCAGGATTGAGCAAGAGCAGGCAGCGGCGCTGGGGCACGTGTGGGAGAACTGGAGCCTCCTGAAGGACCGCCTGGACGTCCTTGACCAGCACAGGGAGAGGGCTCAGCGCCTGCTGGCCTGCCCCGACCACAGGACCTTCCTCCAGGTACCGTCCTGGTGCCGTGTCCCTCCCCATGCCTGAGCGCTGCCGGCCCCGTGCCCTTTCGGTGAGGGCAGAGACGTGGTCAACCCCTTCCCCAGGTGGGACGTGTCCTCAGCCCGGCTCAGGGATGTGATGGGGCTGCAGGGAAGAGCTGCTTTCGGGGAGGGCCCTGAAAAGCTGGGGGGGTGATGCTGGATCAGAGCGGATGGTGCTGCCCGCAGGGCCATGGGCAGCATCTCCACCCCCAAACTGCTCAGCAAGGCTCTTCCACTGCCAGCAAAACACAAAGTCCTGTGCCACAGCCCCTCTGCTCCCCGCAGCCTCACGCTCCCTCTGCAACTGTCCTCTGATCCCACGCGCCAGCCGCAGCTAACGGCAGACGTTTTGGGGACGCCTCCATCACCCACTGGGGAGACACGGCGTGTGCAGATGGGATTTGGAGCTGCCAATCCTCCCCAGGCCGGTGCATGGGTGTCTGTGCATCTGTCCACAGGAGTTCCCCCTGCTCCCACCTCTGGAGAGTGCGGAGGCATGGTTTCCCATGGAGTATGATGTGGCCGGCGTGGTCAAGCCCATCACTGAGATCCTCACCAACATCTCCAGGCTCCTGCTGGAGGACCTGCCCGGCTCTGTGGTCCCCAAAGCTCCCGACCCCGTTGGCCAAGGTAACCCTTCTGCTCGCACGGCCACCCCGAAGGGCTCCAAGTCATCCTGAACCACAGCCTGGCCCGTGTCACCGTGCTGGGGACATAGCTGCTGGGCGCAGGGGGTTGGGATGGGGACATGCATCTACTGTTCATCAGATGGGTATCAATGGGGTGGGATGACCTGGGTGGCTTCCCTGTGCCCCCTCCTTGCTGGCAATGCCGAGCCACGGTGGCACGTGCCCGCTCCCAGGCTTGGATACGATGGACTTCCTCCTCCTCCTCGTCCTCCCATTGAAGCCAGGAAGGAACAAGTGTTCGGGTGGCATCACTCAAAATGCCTGTCCTCATCCTCCACAGACCCGGTGCATCCCCAGAGACTGGCGGTGACGGTGGTGGCCTCTCTCCCCGAGTGCCAGCTCCGAGCTGAGCTTCTGAAGGGTGAGGAGCACATGGGGGTCTGGAGGGACAGCACCCACTGGGGTCCCCAGCAGGCAGAGATTTCACCAAGCCCAGCTCTTCCCTGGGAAGAGGGTGGCATGGCTGTGGTGACGGGGGCTCCTTCCCTGGCTCTACCAATCCCTCTCCCTAAATGCGGAGAAGGGTGTTGCAGGGCCAGGGTGGATGGACTGGGGGACACTGTGGGGCTGGGAAGGGGCTCGTTAGGGGGATTAGCGGCACCAGGGAATGCTTTCCCATGGAAGCTGGGGCTGCCAGTGCCTGGCATCGGGTCGGTCGCTGCCCCAGATCTTGCCCCGTCTCCATCAGCTCCGTTTCACCCGCCTCGGGCGTCTCGCCCAAGCAGGAGCGACGTGCCTGTTCCCCATGACCCATATTTAGACACAGCGCGTTCCCGCAGGCAGGCAGGCAGGCAGGCAACACCAGCAGCTGGCAAGCGAGCACCCACAGGGATGTGCCGTGGGCTGCCCCAGCTGCTCTGCACGGCACAGCACCAGTCCAGACCCCTGCCTGCAGAGCCCTGCCTACAGTCATTGCTCTCTATCCAGGGATATGGCCCCAGCGCTCCCAGACTCAGTCCTTCATGTCCCCTTCCCTCCCTGGGCCCATCCCACTCCAGTTCCTTAGGGATTTCCTCAGTGCTTCTTTTCCCATCTCCTCCCTGTTGGGAAGAGGGTTGGATAACGTTTAGGGCATGTTGGTCATGACACTCTTGCCAGGGAGGCAATCGATGCCTATGGGACCTGTAAGGATTCCTTCCATCAGGCCCCACAAAACTTTCTCAGGGTTATTAATAGGAAAAAAAATGTTATTTCTGGGCAGCAGACACGAGCCCAGCGTAGCTGACCGGGCCGGGTTGTTGTGGGAGGAAGGTGAGGTGCTGGTGGCCGGCAAGTGCCTGCGGCAGGAGGAGTTATCGCAGCCCATTGCAGGGGAGAGTAACTCCCCGCAATACCATAGTTGCTCACTTAACGCCTGGTTTTCTTCCGCTCTCCCCGCCCACGCTCATATTTTTTGCTCTTAAAACCAAGCACATCTTTTCCAAAATGAGCACAGAGCCACCGCTGCTTGCTGGCTGTGAGCTGGGCTGTGCAAGAACTGCGCAAAGCATCGTGTCTCGGTGCCTCGCCAGCTATTTCTGGGCTGTTTCCGTTCCTTCTAGCAGGCATGTGGGCAGGTATCGCATCTCACCCTGCTCGCCTTCCCCTCCAAACATGCTACAACTTGTTCCCTTCTATTTCGGGAGCCAGCCCTACGCAGTTTAAACCACATCACCATTGGGGGGGCTCACGCCAAGGGCATAAAGGTCTGATGAAGCATTTCAGCCCCATCCATGCCGTTGCTCTTCCCAGATCACCGCAACCTGACCTTCGATCCCAAGACAGCCAACAAGTACCTGGAGCTGTCAAAAGATAACCGGAAAGCCAAGCACAGCCCCAGCGCCGTCTGCGGGCAGCAGGAGCAGGGACCCCGCTTCGAGCCCTGGCAGGTGCTGTGCACGCAGGGCTACGGCCATGGCCACCACTACTGGGAGCTGAAGCTCTCCAGCCACTCAGTCATCCTGGGGGTGACCTACCGCAGCCTCCCCCGGGAGTGGCAGCAGGGCCACAAGTTCAACATCGGGCTGGACAGGGGCTCGTGGGGGCTGCAGGTGCGGGAGGATTGCTACCTGGCCTGGCACGAGGGCCAGGCGGAGAAAATCCAGGAGCAGCTGTATAAGAAGCTGGGGGTCAGCCTGGATTATGGCAAGGGGCTCCTCTCCTTCTATGGCCTTGGGGAGAGGACGCGGCTCATCCACTCCTTCCACAATGTCTTCACCGAGCCCCTTTATCCCGTCTTCTGGCTGTGCGAGGGGCGAGAGGTGATGCTGTCCCGGAGGGACTGAGCCGGAGCCGCCGCACTGCTGTTAGGCGGGCCGC